TTACCATTGTCACCTCCTATAGCAGGTGACATTGGTAATATGTGAACACATTTAACAAGTTAAATGGTCAAATATATACAAAAAAAAAGTTTCCTAAATGTGAACAATTTTTTTAACAAATTTCTTAAGAATTTTTATAATTTCCTACAACATTTTTGTGATATTTTTTCCTATAGGGTTTTCTAATACAATGTTTTAAACTTTACTTATAATTTTTTTTTATACTTTCATATAATTTTAATACATGTGCTTTTAAACCAAATGTTTTATAAATGTTTAAAATTTTTCTTACAAGTTTTTAACTTTTTTATTATTATTACATTTTAATACATTTATTTCTAAACTTTCGTTTACAACATTTTAAAAGTGTTTCACATATTTTGTATGACAATTTAATATTTTTATAACATTTTAAAATATTTCCGTTAAATACTAGTTTAAAACTTTATATTAAAAAAATTAAAAGTTTATAAACTTCTAATTAAAAAGTATTAAATAGTTGTAATCATTTTAAAACATTTACATTATATAGAGTTTTTTTTTGTTTTTTTATTTGCTAAGTATTATTTTCTTTTTATTTGTTTAAAATACCATCCTTACTTTTTGTTACATATTTAATTTATTTAATTTTATTGTTAGATACTATTTACTTAAAAATATTGTATATGCTAAAAAACAAAATAAAAAATTATAAGAGGCTATATAAATATTTCACAAAACAAAAATATATTTATTAAATTAAAGGTAAGTTTAAAATTGATCAGTATTTAATTAATATTTAGGAAATTATAGATATTTTAAAAATAACGTTTGAAAAAATTAATACAAACAAATATGAAAAATAAAAATCGCTATTAAAAGTGGGGAAAATTGCTTATCTGGGTAATTTAACTTTTCGTTTTGTTCGCATTTAGGCAAAAAAAAATTGTACACATTTAACCATTTAACTTCTTAATATGTTCACATATTACTATTGTCACATGTTATAGCCGGTGACAATGACAATATGTGAACACATATAACAAGTTAAATACTTAAATATATACAAAAATAAAGAAGTTACCTAAATGTTAACAAAGCGATAAAGATAATTGCACTGCTAAATTATTTTCCCTTTTTTCATATGGACCGAGGTGGAACAAATGAATACCATAGGGACCCTCCATGTAACAAAATCAATACTAGGACCAAAAGTATGAATTTAGGCAAAGGGAATTTGACTTATTAAGGTAACTAAGTATTTTGAATGTTCACAAATGGGTAATATTGTTTTTTTGTACTCATTTACCCAACTAACTTGTTTCAGCCGTTCACAAATAACCAACATTACCGGCTATCGTAGGTTTTGGGTGATGTGGCATCTACATGGCTTGTACATTGCAATACTCATCACCTACGTGGCATTGAGAGGTGTTTACATTATAAGAAGGGTGAGATACGACTGGTGATTAATTAAAACCCTAGATCGATCGATGACATTTTCTTCCTAATCCTTTTCTTCCAAACGACAAGATGAATTGCAACCGGATCATCCATGTGATTGCGACTTGTCATCTCGTGTGAAGACATCAAGAACCCCAGACAATCCTGGAAGGAAATTCAGAGTTTGTCAAAACTCACTGGTAAATCAATTTTTTTACTTATTCTTCATCCTTCAATTTAACATGTTTTTATAAATTTCTTGAAGAATGGAAAAAGTCCAAGCTGTAAATTTTGGCAATGGTTGGATGAGGATGAAGGGAGGAAAGATGGAAGAAGGCATTACAGGATGAAACTAGAAGAAAGCTGCAATCTTACCTTGAAAATTTGTACCTTGGAGAATGAAATCAGCATATGCAGGATGAAGATTGAACAAGAGAAGAACATAAATAAACAAGAACTGGATAAAGTCAATTGGAAATTGTTTACCCATAGACTTGCATTAATTTTCTTGTTTCTCTTGTATGTCAAAATGTTGTTTTAAATTATGTAGTTTATTATGATGTAGTATGACTAAATTATGTATGCTTTTGTGATGTTTTTCAATGAAAAAGGTTACATTGGATCATTGGAATGGAATTGTACATTGTAATGGAATTGTTATTAAACTTGGTATTATAAAAGATAGTAATAAACATTGTAATGGAATTGAATCATTGTAATGGTAGTGTACAAACATTGTAATGTTATTGTGAATCATTGGAATGGAATTGTTCAAATAATGTAATGGAATTGTGATTACACTGTAATGGAGTTGTGATTACACTTGGTATTCTAAAAGATGGTAATAAATTATAAATAATACAAATTGTATTAGAAAGATGTGCAAAAGATGGTAATACATTATAAACATTCCAGGGAACATTGATTTCAAAAGATGTATCAAAAGTTTTAGATAACATAATTAAACATTCATTACACCCTTAAACATGCATTACACCCAAAAGATGTGCAAAAAGTTAAACACTACACACTTAAACATGCATTTAAGCTATTCCAACTAGTTTTTCAAAAGATGTGCCAAAAGATTCCAAAGTTAAAAGATGTCAGTCAAAGATGCCAAAAGCCAAAAGTGCAATAAGCCAAAAGTTAATCCAACTCATACGGATTGTCATCACTACTTCCCTGTTTTCTCTCCCACATCTTTCTTATCTTAAGTTTTGTAATTCTTTCTAAAGGTTTCCTTGCCCTCTGTCCCACTACAACTTGAAAAGATGGTATTTCCACTTGATCTTGAACTACAATTTGGTTAGCATCTACAACTTGAACTTGCACTTCAGGTTGAACTTCAGCTTGAACTTTAACTTGGTTAGCATCTTCAACTTGAACTTCAGGGTGAACTTGAGGTTGAACTTTAGGTTGTACTTCAGGTTGCACTTCATCTTGAATTTCAGGTTGTACTCCATCTTGAACTTTAGGTTGCACTTCATCTTGAACTTCATGTTGCACTTCATCTTGAACTTCATGTTGCACTTCAGGTTGCACATCATCTTCAAATTCAACATCAAAAGAGTCCACTTCACTTTCAGGTTCTATTTCAACTTCACTGTCACTGTCAATATCAACTTCATGTGCCAATGCAACCTTCACTTTACCTGTTTTGCATTACTTGAAAAGTTAAGTTATGACAAATATGTTAAGTTATACAAGATATATATAAATAAATATATCAAACATACCAGCTTTATTGGGTTTCTTTTTCTTTGAACTAGCATTTGATGATTCCTCAATTGGTTTTTGAGGACATGTTGTTCTATTATGCCCACTTTCCCTACATATGATGCATTTCATCACACTACCTCTTTTTGTGATTGAATGCTTTTTTTCCTTGGTTTTCCCTCTCAATCAGATCCATTTTCCTTTTTGTTGATGGTCTTCCTGGTAGCCTTCTCCTTTTGGGGGGGCAATAGGTTGATGTAGTCTACATGAGGCCACATGTCACTACCATTGAGTGGGTTAACAGTATACCTATAACAGTTTAAGAACATTGTTGTGGTAAACCATGGTGATACATACTCCTCTACATCCCTGTTGAGTCTTGCAATGCAAGCATACCCATGCACACAAGGGTAACCTGTTAACTACCAAGTTCTGCAGGCACATGTCATGCTACCAATATCCACAACATATGCATCATACCCAAGTCTGACTTCATACTGTTGATAACCAGATGGTATAACTTTCCAAAATCTGTCCACATACACATATATAAGGACAAACATGTTAAAAGACAAACATATATAAGGACAAACATTTTTAATCACTTACCTTTGAAGATCCTTAAGCTTGGACAACTTCAGCCTAATAGTAGGACATATGGTTAAATCCCAAGATTGCCCATTAATCTTCTGTCTATAAAGCCTCTCCATCACATAAATTCGAATTTCTTCTAACATGGTGATTAGTGTTCTCTTCCTGGAAGCTTCAATCACCGAGTTGAAACTCTCAGATATACCATTTTCATATGCATCACAAACCCTATCGGTCTGAAAAAATGCTTTACTCCAAGTTTTGAGGGTCCCTTTCCATCAAATGGTCATAAGCTAGTGGTTCTAATTTCTTGATTTCATTCACATGTTGCTCAAATTTTGCAGGGGTAGTAGATGCAACAGCATACCAGAAAAGCTTTCTAAACAGTTGGCCCTTAAACCTTTTCATGAAGTTAGCACATATGTGCCTAGCACATTGCCTATGCTCTGCTGCTGGAACCCTTTCCTTCACAGCCTCAAGTAATCACTGTTAGCAAGAGACACAAAACTTAAACAATAGAAACAAAACATAAGCTAAAATAAAGATGGAAAAAATAGAAATTGATTACTTTTTGTTGGTCTGATATCAAGGTTAGTCCATGCCCAACTCCCATTCCAAGGTCCTCAATTAGAAGGTTAAAAAACCACTTCTATGTTTCTTTACTTCCACTGATACAACAACCCAAGCAATAGGATATATATGGTTATTTGCATCTCTACCTATAGCAGAAAGCAACCGACCTCTGCATATGCCCTTTAGGAAGCAACCATCTAGTCCAATTACCCTCCTACAAACTTCAATCCATCCATCCTTCAATCCCTTGAAACATACATAAAACTTTGAGAAATAAGTGGTTCCATCATGCATGACATCTACATCCATCTTCACTGTTGATCCAGGGTTAGTCCTTTTTATCTCTTCTCCATAGCTCCATGTATTTGCATAATGTTCTTTCAAAGAACCCTCTATCTCCTGAAATGCATACTTCCTTGCATTTCTGCATTGTCCAACACTTGCAATCAAATTAAATTTCTTGCTGACTTTAGCTTTCAACCTCCTTATACTCATCTTTGGTTTCTGAAGTATATGATTCATGAAATGATTTGCTATCCATTTATAGGTAACAATGGACCCAAATTTGAAGACTCTTGCACAATTATGCATATCATTCAGAGATTTAATCTGGAATGATTTTTCACTGGTCATCCAGGTTGCCCACAACCTAAAGGGACAACCTTTACCCTGTTTATTTGTCTTACCTTTACAACATTTTACCAATAACCTTTCATGATCACTTTTCTCATACCATGAATCATATCCATTTTTACTGCATAGTTGGTGATACACAACTTCAATTCCAATGGGTTAGAAAACTTCATAGCCAAAACTGGCACCATTTGCTCCCATTCTTGATTCTCATTATGGACAGGGAACATAACATCCTTATCTTTTCCATTGTTTGCTTCTTCTTCATCATCATCACTAATATGCCCTGAAAGTTTGTCCAAGAATGGGTCTCCAACAGTTTTATCAAAAGTATGTTCCTCTTCATCATCCCATTCATGTTCATGTTCCATTGTCTCTGAAACTTCAGAATCCTTGTCATCCTCTATATCAAACTCATCCGAATCATACCCTTTACCATTTGCTAAGACCTCGTTATCAGCCCAATCAAGAATTGGTTCATTTCGGTGGTCAATGTACACATCTAACTCACTCTCAAGACTATCACTCTCCAGACTATAAACAGTTTCCACAAGCTCCCAATAATCAGCATCGCTCTCGATTCTTCTAATACCCTCACACAAGCTTTCTGTGACAACCGTCACTTTTGGCCAAGTCAAAGTCAACTAAAGTCAACAAGTCAAACCCGTCAACTCATCTAACCCTTGTACATTAGGGTTTCCATTATGTTTCTATCGAACAATCGCAATCTTAATACAAAGTATCACTTAGAGTTTTCACGTGTTCGGAAAATTCTAAACCCTAATCAGGGCAAGTGATTGAAACTACTCGATAAAACATTATTCCTTGACCCTCGGGGGCATAAACAATATAACAAGACTTCTTAACGAGGTTTACGAACCTTGAATTACAGAGCCAAACACCTCAAACGGGTCACAAAAGAAGTCTCTCTCAAATCTCTTTCATCTAATCTCCCAAATCTCACTTGTATGGAAATCTCTCCAAGTATGTCAAATCTCTCCCAAATCTCTCTCTGTATGAGAAATCTCTCCAAGAATGTGAAATCCCAAATCTCTCTCTGTATGAGAAATCTCTCCGAGAATATGAAATCTCTCCCAAATCTCTCTCTGTATGAGAAATCTCTCCAAGAATGTGAAATATCTCCCAAATCTCTCCAAGTATCTCAAATCTCTCCCAAATCTCTCTCAAAACCTCTTTTGATTTATTTTAACCATTTGGGGCATCCCGACACTTGACTTTGGTGGAAAAACCATTCGAAAAGGGAAGATACATTGGAAATTAGCCTTTTAGGGCCGAAGTCCCTCTATAGGGACCACAACCCTTCCTTGAGCCGAAGCCCCAAGGACCAAAACGAAGTCCCCTTAAGGAA